CAAACTGAAGGCCATGGCATCCTTGATTGAGTCATTCCATCCCTGGTTGGGTCTTCCTGTTTCCTTGCTGCCTTCAGCTTTTCCTAGCATTGGGTCATAGAGCTGGAAAAGAGTCTGCCTAAGAAGCATGGGATAGAGCAGGTCGAGAAAGAAGTATCTTTCTCCCTTTCTCACAAGACAAAAACTCGTGGGCACACGGTGAAATTGCTGAGCGGTCGGGTTAGAGTGGATAAAAGGAAGTGCTTCTTCACCCGAAGAGTGATGAACACGTGGAATTCACTGCCACAGGAGGCGGTGGCAGCTACAAGCATGGACGGCTTCAGGAGGGAATTGGATAAGCATATGGAGCAGAGGTCCATCCGTGGTTATTAGCCACAAGGTATAGATAGGAACTCTCGGTCTGGGGCAAGTGATGCTCTGCATTCTTGGTACTTGCGGTGGGCAACAGTGGGAGGGCTTCTAGCGTCCTGGCCCCACTGGTGGACCTCCTGATGGCCCCTGGTATTTTTGGCCATTGTGTGACACAGAGTGTTGGACTGGATGGGCCTCTGGCCTGATCCAACAGTGGCTTCTCTTATGTTCTTATATGGAGCAGAAGTTCATCAGTGGCTCTTAGCCACAAGGTATAGATAGGAACTCTCGGTCTGGGGCAAGTGATGCTCTGCATTCTTGGTGCTTGGGGGGGGCAACAGTGGGAGGGCTTCTAGTGTCCTGGCCCCACTGCTGGACCTCCTGAGGGCACCTGGTACTTTTGGCCACTGTGTGACAAAGTGTTGGACTAGATGGGCCATGGGCCTGATCCAACATTGGCTTCTCTTATGTTCTTATGTTCTTATTGTAGCCTAAGCTTTCGAGAAACACAGCTCTCTTCGTCAGACGAAGAGAGCTGTGTTTCTCGAAAGTATAGGCTACAATAAAGTTTGTTGGTCTTAAAGGTGCTACTGGGCTTTTTGTTATTTTGCCTAAGAAGCAGAGAGTTTTGTGGCATTTAGGTAGACAATACTGAGCAAAGGGCGTTTCTTCAGGACGAGACAGGTTCATGTGCTCTCCACATATATGGGAATAAGCATTTAACGTGTTATGCTGAGCTGCACTGTCTGAATTCAATCTAGGGTTGCCAGCTACTGAATGGGAAATGCCTGGAGATTTGGGGGGCGGAGGCTGAGGAGGGCGGGGTTTGGGGAGGGGAGGGGCCTCCACAGGGGATAACGCCACAGAGTCCACCCTCCAAAGCAGCCGTTTTCTCCAGGGGAGCTGATCTCTGTCATTTGGAGATCTGTTGTAATCCCAGGAGATCTCCAGCCCCCGCCTGGAGGTTGGCAACCTGAATCCAACACATCTGATGGGAAAATATTATCCAGGTGTTCCTCTCAACCCATGAAGATGGGAATGTTGCTTAATTTCAATAGCAAAAGGTGATATTCCCACCGTCCCACAGAAGCAACTAAGTTCTGCATTGGAGAACCTTCCCTGCGGTTCATCGATCTGACCTGGCTCTTCAGATTTAATCATAGAATCATAGAATGTTAGAGTTGGAAGGGACCTTGCAGGTCATCTACTGCAACCCCCCTGCACTCTGCAGGAGTATACTGAAAGATAGCCCTACATACCTACCACATACCCGAAAGATGGTCTTCCAGCCTCCGCTTGAAAACGTCCAGCGAAGGAGCATCCACCACCTCCGGAGGCAGACTGTTCCACTGCTCAACCACTCTCACAGTTAGGGAGTTTCTCCTGATATTTAGCCGGTAACGACTCCCTTGTCATTTCCACCCATTAGATCTAGTCTTGCAATCCGGAGCAAGAGAGAATAGATCTGCTCCATCTTCTACATGACAGCCTTTCGAATACTTGAAGACTGCAATCATGTCCCCTGTAAGCCTTCTCTTTCCCAGGCTAAACATACCCCAACTCTTTCAGCCTTTCCTCGTAAGACGTGGGTTCCAACCCTCTCACCATCCTGGTTTCCCTTTTCTGGACATGCTCCAGCTTGTCAACATCCTTCCTAAATTGTGGTGCCCAAAAGTGGACACAGGACTCCAGGTGAGGCCTGACCATAGGAGAATAGAGTGGAACTACCACCTCCCTTGATCTGGACACAATGCTTCCGTTAATGCATCCTAAGATGCATTCTTGTTTCAGCATCCTTCAGTGGAAGCCGATAGGACTTTGGGAGGAAAAAGCGTTCCAGAGGGACTTGCCCTTGATGCTCATAATTTATAAGAAAGACTAGTTGAATTATTAATACAGAGAATTTAGATAAGAGTCACACTTCTCTGTTTATAACGGCTTCCCATTAATAAGGAAAATTGGAAATTTATCACTGAGATCTTCCCATTAAAACCCCTTCCCACTCCTGATATCTTTTTCGTGAAAAAAGGAAACAAAAGAGGAAAAGCCTTTTGTCCGTCTGGGCTTTCAGTGAGTACATTTTTAGCAACTCCCTTTACATTTGGACGTAAACCAGGTCTGTGTAAAAAATGGGAGAGCTTGCCGCTTATCGATAGAATGATTACTGATCGGTTCCAGGGGTATCTGGGAACAGCTGGAAGCCTGCAAATTTTTGCTAATACAGGCTAATTAAGACATGGAATTCACTGCCAAAGAGTAATTAACACGTGGAATTCACTGCCACAGGAGGTGGTGGCAGCTACAAGCATAGAGAACTTCAAGAGGGGATTGGATAAAGATACGGAGCGGAGGTCAATGAGTGGCTATTAGCCACAAGGGATAGATGGTACATTATGTCCGGGGCAGTGATGCTCTATATTCTTGGTGCTTCGGGGGTAGCAGTGGGGGGGGGGGGGCTTCTGGGGTTCTGGCCCCACTGGTGGATCTCCTGATGGCCCCTGGGTTTTGGCCACTGTGTGACACAGAGTGTTGGACTGGATGGGCCATTGGCCTGGTCCAACATGGCTTCTCTTATGTTCTTATGTCTGGGGCAGTGATGCTCCGTCTTGGTGCCTGGGGGGCCACGGTAGGAGGGCTTCTGGGGTTCTGGCCCCACTGGTGGATCTCCTGATGGCCCCTGGGTTTTGGCCACTGTGTGACACAGAGTGTTAGACTGGATGGACCATTGGCCTGATCCAATATGGCTTCTCTTATGTTCTTATGTCTGGGGCAGAGATGCTCTGCATGCTTTGTGCTTGGAGGGGCACAGTGGTAGGGCTTCTGGAGTTCTGGCCCTGCTGGTGGACCTCCTGATGGTCCCTAGGTTTTGACCACTGTGTGACACAGATGTTTTGACTAGATGGGCCATTGGCCTGATCCAACATGGCTTCTTTTATGTTCTCATGTTCGGGGCAGAGATGCTCTGCATGCTTTGTGCTTGGAGGGCCACAGCGGTAGGGCTTCTGGAGTTCTGGCCCTGCTGGTGGACCTCCTGATGGTCCCTAGGTTTTGGCCACTGTGTGGCACAGATTTTTTGACTGGATGGGCCATTGACCTGATCCAACATGGCTTCTTTTATGTTCTCATGTTCGGGGCAGAGATGCTCTGCATGCTTTGTGCTTGGAGGGCCACAGCGGTAGGGCTTCTGGAGTTCTGGCCCTGCTGGTGGACCTCCAAGCAGAAAGCATGCAGAGCATCTCTGCCCCGGACATAAGAACACATAAGAAGCCATGGTAGGGCTTCTGGCATTCTGACCCTGCTGGTGGACCTCCTGATGGTCCCTAGGTTTTGGCCACTGTGTGACACAGATTTTTGGACTAGATGGGCCATTGGCCTGATCCAACATGGCTTCTCTTATGTTTTTATGTCTGGGGCAGTGATGCTCTGTTTTCTTGGTGCTTGGGGGGGCACTGTGGGAGAGCTTCTGGAGTTCTGGCCCTGCTGGTGGACCTCCCGATAGCCCCTAGGTTTTGGCCACTGTGCGACACAAATTGTTGGACTGGATGGGCCATTGGTCTAATCCAACATGGCTTCTCTTATGTTCTTATGAATGCTTTTATCAATCCAATGTGGACAAAGTACAAAATACACCAAGCAACAAAGTCCCTGTAACACATGTAAGGCATTAAACAATTATAGGACCAAAAATGGAATTTTCCAATATGGAATTGAATGACACACCAAAAGATTTCTGTTTGGGGGGCACAAATATATCTGGCCTTGTGTCAGAAATAGTTGCATATAATGGAAATAATATCAGTACCGATATGTACCTTCCAGTTTAGGTCCTAAGAGTGCAAGTAAAATTGCCTTATCGGGGACAATGTGACATCAATATTGTACTATTTGATCTCTGATAAAGGCTCTTGTGAGCCGAAAACACATCAGGTCATACACTCTTCTTTTTCGTGCATTAGTCACTTTGAACATTTCATGAGGCTATTTGGGCCCCTACAGGGTTTTGAAATAAGCACTCTTTTGTCTATACTTCCTAAGGTTTTTAACTTTGGGCCTTCAATAAGTTTTCTAAATATTATGTTATCGAAGGCTTTCACGGCCGGAGTTCATTAGCGGTTGTAAATTTTCCGGGCTGCCTGGCCGTGGTCTTGGCATTGTAGCACCTGGCGTTTCACCAGTAGCTGTGACTGGCATCCTCAGAGGTATAACACAGAACGATGGAGGACTCTCTGTGTCAAGGTGAGAAGGAAAATGGTAGGCAGGGAATTTATATCTACCACAGATA